GTAATTCCACAGTCAGTACGTTTCTCGTCACTTTAAACTTAACAACTTCTATAAAACACGCTATAAATCACAGCGATTCGCAATCTCGAAAACACACATTAGCTCGAAACAGAATCATAAATTACCCGGAACTCTCTTCATTCAATCCAACAGGCTTTCACTGCCAGGCTTATATACTAGAGAAGAGGCTTCGACAAAATTCATGATCATTCGAGAAATTTCACACACGTTACCAGCGCCAAACGCGCCAGCAGCGTCACGTGACTTCCGCTGTCGTAACAATACTAAGCAGCTTCACTACCGTGCTTAGTAATTATTACACTGTAATGAACAAAAGTGTTGTCAATTGACGTTGGCATCAGGAATCTGTTTAAACTCGTTAACGATTTTATATGTTTTATTGCAATATGAGGTGTAAACAGTTCTAAAATAACTCGTATCTATTATGCAAATTAGACTTTTCTTGAGCATTTTTCGACAGCTCCAGAAAAAAAGAAACTTTCCTTGTTGTTCGATGCATTGCCTTATGGAATCGTCAGGAGCTTCCCATCATAAATACTGAGGTACAAGAAAAAGTTCAAAAGGACTAAAATTAGAAATATTTTTTTCACGGTACTCTAAATTACACTTGAACATTTATTGTTTTTATGATTTATTTCCTCCATTCTGTGTTGCTAGTTTTCTAACTAATCCTTTCAGTTCTTCTAGGCTATCCTCAGGGGGAGTTGATTGTCCAACAACACTTGACGTTATTACCCTGTAAGGTCTATATTGTTACGTATCTGCTCGTTTGTTAATTTCCGGTATAAATTTTTTCCGAGGAACTTCAGCGATATAAGTCCTTTCTTAATTAACACTTGTTTATTCTTTTACTTGATTCAACTTTTTAGTACAGAGAATTTCCACAGTGACTTTAAACTTAACAACCTTTTTAACACACGCTATAAATCACAGTGATTCACACACTTTACTTATGGTGCCTACTGTTCGCTTGACTCAATTATCTATCTCTTCAATTTATCTATATCTCTGTTTTTTTTCGCCAGGCTTATATACTAAAAAAAAGAGGGCGCCTCGAACAAACTAGAG